TTTTTTTTTTTTTTTTTTTTTTTTTTTTTATCGTAAAATTTATGGATATCTTTTATAAGTCATGAAATTTATTATATTATCTTTATAAAATAATAAAAATTTATTACTATATATTTTTTTTTTTTTTTTATATCTTTTTTTTTAATGCACCTTGACTTTTTTTTAATATTTTTTTTAATACACTATAGAGATCTTATATCCCCAAAAAAAAAAAAAAAAAAAAAATAATAGTATATATATATGTAAAATATTATCTTTTTTATATGTGAAAAAATAATTAAAAGATGGATTTTTCAATGTAGGAGAAGTTTTATTATATATCTTTTTCTTTAAATTCTTAATATTAATTTTAATATAAATAAAAAGAAAAAGAAAATGTGATACTAAAAAGTATTTTAAAAAAAGATACGGTAAAAAAAAAATTTTGAAAGAATTATAAATGATAATATCCATATAAACAAAAATTTTAAGAGATAAAATTTTATAAAATAAAATTATTACATAATGATATTTAATATAAAATATTTCAAAAAAAGCTTAGGAGACGTGTAAAGAAAAAAAATAATAATAAAAATAAACATCTTTTTTAATAGTTTTGTTTTAATAAGAATAAAATATTTTAAAAAATCCTAGAATATTAAAAAAAAAGTAATATTTTTTTTTTTTTTTTTATTTATAATTTTTGTTATTTTTCTAAAACTATAGATGCTTATATGTTAAGATAAAAATATATTATTTATATTTTTTAGTAAATTTGTAGTAATTAAAAAAAAAAAAAAAAAAATTTTTTAGTAAATAAATATTTTTAAAAAAAAATAATAAAATTTCTAAATAACCACATAAAAAAAAAAAAAAAAGAAATATTAAGGAAAATATTATAGTTTTTTTTTTTTTTTTAATTATAATTTTAAAATAAAAATAATTTTTAATTTTTTTTTAATCGCATGTTTAATGGTTTTTGTGTAGTTAATGATTGTATATAGGTTAATCCTTTATTATAGGTTTCTTTTCTAGTTTTTGTTTTTTTTAGCATATCTTTTGAATATATAATAGGTAGTGACTTATCAAATAAATTTTCATAGTGATCACTGGAATTCATATTATTCCATACTTCAATTAATGTGTTTATTGCCTTTATTTTACTTTTATGATCCCAATATTTAGATCTCTCTAATACTTTAATTGCATGTATAACGTTATCCCTATATTTAATATCTTTTGGTAATGAATGTGATACACATTGTAAATTTGGATATCTCATATAACTTAATTCTTCATCTTCAATATTTAAAGGTTTGTTATTTTTTATACCTCCAACATATTTTTTTCTCATGTTTGTTTTAAATGATTTTAAATTTTCAAATGGATAATTATCAAAGTGATATTTTTTATTTTCTGGTAAAATTTTTAATACCTCATTTATAATATCTCGTTTTTCATTATTCATTTCATCATACATTTCAGCATTAGTTTTTTTTTCATCATTTTTCATTTTCATTGTTTTTTTTTTTTTAATTTCATTTTCTTCATTCATTTTTAGATTAACTGATGAGTTTTTATCCTTTTGTTGTTTTTTCTCATTTATAAGAAAGCTTAAAATGTTTAATGATGTATTTATACTTTCATTAAATTTCTCTTTTAAATTATAATTATAATGAATATCACCTCGAAATGAAACTAAGGGTTCATATATTTCTACAGGAACATTTGCACTATTTATTTTTAAAATATTCAAACTAACTTTTTTATTTATATAATTTTCTATTAATGTTTCCTCATATGGATTTTTTACATATTTATGAAGTATAAAATTAAATAAAGAATTTTTAAATAGCATATACGGGTTTTTATGAACAGCAAATTCATTTATTAATGTTGGTTTTATTTTTTCTAAAATATTTTGCCTTATTGAATTAATCATTAAATATATAAAATCATTTGTTATTTTATGTTTTGTCATATATTGATCATTTAATAATGTAAATGATTTGCTATATATATATGATTTATACAAATCTTCAACAAGAGTATATCTTTCTATATCTTCTAATTCTTTTTCTTTATTTGTACAAAAGTTATCTTCATATTCATTGTCTGTTATTAGACTATTATTTACTCTCTTTTTTATTTTTCTTTGTTGCAAATAAGCAGGTTTTCTCAACTTTAATATTTTTAGTTTCCTTTTGTTCTCATATTCATCTTGTATTTCTTTTTCTTGTTCTTTCAGAAAAGAGAAATCATATATTTCACTTACGTCTTTTTCATTAATATTCAATATATGGCTATTTATTAATTTAATTCTGTCTTCCTTTCTAAGATTTTTATATTTCTCTTGTAACAATTTAATAATATTTTCGTGATCATTTTTTGGTAGTGTGTTAACTTTTCTTTTTGTCCATATATATGTAAGTAAATCTTTTTTTTTACGTATTCTTAAAATGTTGTTAATATTATTTGTTATCATTATAGAATTTTATTATTTATATGTGATAATAAATTTCTCTTATTCTTTGTTTTTTTCTTATTTTATATCTCTTATAAAATATATTCATTTTTTTATAACTTATTTTACATATTTTAACAAATAATAAAAAAAAAAAAAAAAAAAAACAAAAAAATTAAAACAAAATTTATATGTATTTTAAAAACAAATTGTAAAAAATAAAATACATTAAAAAAAATGAAAAGTTAAAAAAAAAAATAAAAATAAATGAGAATATAATTTCATAAAAAAAATATATATATATATATATGTATATATGTATATATGTTTATATTATTTTATAAAAGAAAATATAAACAGGAATAAAAAAATTTTAAAAATATAAATTTTTTATTTGAATTATTTTTTTTCATGTGTTTAAAAGAATTTATATTTTTTTTAGTTTTCTAATTTTTTTTTTTTTTTTTTTTTTATTTTATATAAGAAATATAAAATAAAAAAAAATAATTAAAACAAATAAATAAAATTATCAAAATATGATTATAAAAATCATAGATAGTTTAATTAAAAAAAGTTCTAATTCATTTTTTAGAAGATGTTTAGCTTGTTATAACCACAAAGTGATTAATATGCCTAAAAATGATCAAATTATATCAAACAATTTTAATATTGAAGACGAAATGGATAAAGATAAATTAATATATTTAATAAAAAACATACAAATTATTAATTTAAAAGATAAAAATATTTTGAATAATATAAGTAATCTATTAAAAAAATATATAAATGATTATAATATAGAAGAAATATATCTAATTATACATAGTTTTTGTAAATTAAATTTTACAAAACATTCTTTATATACTAATTTTGTAAAAATTATTATGAATAAAAAACCACTCATGAATACTAGAATGTTAACACAAATATTAATCGATTTACATAAATTGTCTTCATTAGATATTAATGTTTTAACATTTTTTACTGAACATTATATTAAAGGTTCTATAAATAAATTTTCTTTATTTGATTTATCCATGATTTTGTTTATTTATAATAAATATAATTATAATGATTTTATAACAATTAATACCATATGTGAAATAATTAAAGAATACTTTTTACCAATTATAAATGAAGTAAGAAATAAAAACTTTCGAAAAAATTTATAGTTAACAAAATTTTATATTATATATTTACACATTAATAAAATTCCCCTTAATAAACCTTTTTTGTTTGTTTACTAAATATGCATAAATGTATAGTGATAAGAAATATTTTATCTACTTATTATATGGATTTTAATACAAAACCAAATAAAAATATGCTTATATAATACTTACCTTATAAAAGATTGCCACCATTATTACTATAATAATTTTTTTTTTTTTTTTTTTTTTTTTTTTTTA